GAAAGATTTTTTCGGAAGAATCACAACAACCAGCTACTTACAACATAAAGGCGAATTCAAGCATAGTTATGAATTATATCAAACTAGGTCAAAAGCGGCGAAAGAACTAGTATAGCATTTTTGTGGCTCTCCAACTGCTAATGCAACTACACAATAACCCAAAAGAATTGTGGTGGCGACCTAATCTTGCCGGAAGATGATGATTCTGGTTAATATCGGCATGGAGGACAACCGACTGCGGCGTGGCTGTGTAATAAGCATATAGAAGGGCCACTGGTGGTAGGCAAAGATTTGTGCTGCTGTGGCGCGACGTATAACAAGTGCACATTTGTTACTGTAAGATAGATATTGAGCCCCGAAATCTGATATTTTCGAAACTAAGGTAAGAAAGTAAGACATAGTATTATTTTTGAGAACAAGACGCATTATGTTCTTTTCATGCAGGAAAGTGGTGGTGCCTTGAGTAAGAAACCAATGATTTGAGCCAGTGATTATTGACTAAGATTGGCAATCATTGCGCCTTAGCTTTCTAGTAAATAAGAAGATAGTAGATTAATAAATTAGAAATTGCACGATACCCTACCACAGCACTGTACTATACAAAATATGAAACTATAGGAAGAGAACCACTATTAGCTAGGTAGTAGACTTATTCCGAACAACCATAAGAAATAGACCAGCTCTGCGGAGGTTGAAACGTGGTCAACTTTCTTTGTAAGAGACCCTTTCTACGAGAATGAACAAAATTTTTAGCGAGGTCTGAAAATGCGGAAGAGGAAAGAGTTTGAGTTTTCCCTCTTTAAACTAGTTGAAAGACCAATGAAAAGAAAATTAGGTTGGTCTGTAAATTTCTTGAGATTTTCTTCCTAGATGGCTTTTTCCAGGGAATGGGTTGGGAACATAGTTTATTTTCAAAAAAGTCATACGATAAGCGTTTATCTAGGATATCTCAGTGGAAAGTCATGCAGATAGACATTCAACATTTTATTTGTGATTTGCGTTCTAAGTAAAGTGAAGTTTGGCAAAAATCTAGAAAAGCTTTCAAAGTGTTTTTGTAAAAGTAAGGTTTCCCTATGGTCAGCTGCAATAAAAACATTTAGCAGCAGATAGGGGTAAAGGAAAAAGTTGAAATTTGTCAGAGCAATCTGAAATCAGGACAATATAGAAGCTTCACGTTTTATTCAGAGTAACATTGTTGAGATTTTCGACTTATGCATATTTATAGGCACATTCTTAATACAAATATTGAGACTGAAGTCTTTATTGGTTGAAATTATATAAGAGGAATGTACAAATTATATGGTTAAAAATGGAACAATCAAAACTTGTCTTTATCTGTGCAAAGTCCAAATGCATGCTTGACTTGTACCCGCTGTGCCAACAATCTTCCAGCCATCTTTTTCTAATATATTCAGAACTATCTGAGGTGCAAAACTGGAGCAATAGACGGAATACCCCTGAATTTCGTTCAATTTTAATTGCTATAGCTGTTTTTGAGCGACTTACCACAACACCAAACGGATGCGATGGTTCGGCTTGCAACAGTTCTATGAGATCAACATCACTGTCGTAATCCCCAACATATGTTGGTCCAGCTTCGATGGGAGTGTGCGTAGTTACCAGCAAATATGGCATTTTTTTGTGAAGAAGCCTATATAAGACGATGAACACTTAGGTCTCATGTATGTGGACAAGCTATAAGAGAAGCGACAGACCTTGTCCTTTTGAGAAAAAGTGA